AATGACTCACGTGTTTAAATTGTTTTAAGGCTTTGAAGTTTGAGATCAGGGGCTGCTAGACCACCACGTGTCTGCTAGGTGTCACCTCAGATGGTCCACTTTACCATGTTTGTCGGGTTTGCACCTTCTAAGGAGTTTTTTGGGTGGTTTCTGTGTGGTCAATTGCATCAATTTGTGGAGTGAAATTCTACTATTTTATTTGTATGTTAGTACAATTAGCAGGTATTTGTGTCTGGGTAATGCAAGGCATCAGTCTATGGATGCACATTAACATTAAGCTTGCTAGTATTGGCTTAAGATTCCAACCTGTGGTCACAAACAGATTCACTTCTGGCTCCTAAAAACAAGACGCAGACTGTCTAATGCTTTCAAAAACCAGTGGATGAAGTCGTGGTGACTACATCCATCTATTATAAGCACTCCAAAGAGTGGATCTTTTTAAGTTACCTATGTTTTTTGCTCCAATTTTCCTCGACAGTGATTTCTCCTCCTTTCACTGAGATTTGGCCGAGAGGCAGTAACACAGAAAGGAAAATAAGCACTGAAAAGACTGGAAAAACAACTACCTCTTTCAGTTTAAAGTTCCATGTTTACCTTTGCTGAATTTCTTTTGAACTGTTTTATACTGAAATGGAAATCTGAACCGATCCTTAAACATACCTGGTGCTCATATTTATGTGTGTAGTTACAAGCCTGTGCACTCACTTTCAGGCCCATTGTCCTTTATCAGAATTTGGGCTGTTCCATCCTTCACTATGTCCAGCCAGTTCACCTGCGGGGCGTAGCTCAGATACTTATTCTGGATGATCTTCACTCCTCCCCTGAGGATCTCTGTAGAAGGTACACATAGGTGTAAATGGGGCAGTACAATTAGGAAAGCAAGCCCGAACAGGTCTGTGACTCATCTTAACAAACTCTACCATTCTCTGTTTACTACACAGCAAACGTATCATGTGCTGGAGCTCATGTTACACTGGCAGTTGAGCGGTTGAGCACATGGTACATTCCAGGGACTTCACATCACTCCTACACACACAAGCACACACACGGGCACAAACACACACACTGCTGCGTTTCAACAACCGGTATTCTAAAGGTGTGGCTGAACTGTGTAGGTGTGGGAGGTCCAACAGTAAGAGTGCCACATCCAACTTGACCTCTTATCTGCTCCAATCCAGCCTCCCACATGTTAAACACACTCTATACATCAAATGAGTGACTCTCTGTGTACCTGTGAGGTGAGTCAGGCCCAGTTCTTGAAGGCCATGCTCCCCATCCATCTGATAGTTGACCATGACAGCCAAGGCATACTGGTCCTCATACAGTGTGCTGCCTCTGATGATGCGCAGGTGGTGCAGTGGGAGGCGGCTGAACTCATTGATAGCAAAAAGGATATACCCTGTCACCTCCTTGATAGACTGCGAGGCAAAAGAAAAGAACAAGGAAGAGAAAAATGCAGTTTGTCAATTCTTCTGCTCAATCAAATTGTTATCAGTGTCACAAATCAGCAGGGGTGTGTTTGCTTACTGAGTTAGTCACTGTGACTCCAGTGGCATGACTAGCACAAAAGGAGTGGGGGCATAAATGAGCTCATTCTGGATTTGAGACAAAATCCATTACAGAGAGCGATCAAACACAACCAGTGTTGACTTTTTGTGTTCTCCTGGGCGAATGAAAATGGTTGATTCACATACTTACTCATCTTGTCAGTGACACATTTGCAGTGAAAGGAATAATGGTAGTCAAACTCTCTCTTGGTTTGTTGTTCGTAATGTTTGCAACCTCACCTCCAGAAAGCTGAAGTCTCTGGTGTGGTCCATCATGGTGATCTCGAGGTTGCCCATCACAATGTCACAGTTATTGTACCTCGTCTTCATCAAGTTGTACATGATTTCTGAATTTCCAGTCGTGCTCAGAAAGTTCTTGGTGCCGTCACAAACGGTCACTGCGAAAAGCAAAGCTTCTTAGATTTAAAAAAAAAGTTTTTTCAGAAAAACATGTGTCCTTATTTCAAATAACCAGAAGAGTTGGGAATGACAGTAAACGCTGTAACGATTCATTAATCATCTGATTTTTAAAAGGCTATCCACGTCAGTATACAGCGAGCCATTTTCCACAACCTCCAGCACACTGCGTTACCTAGTTTATCATGTTCAGTTTCAACAGTTTAATTGATGAACTAAAAATAAAAACACTTTCCATTCACGTTAGCACAGCAGAGAGATGTTCTGTCAATTAAAGAAACATATTTAGAAATGTGGCTGTTTGTGTGGCTGTGGAGATCACTCTGGGGTGGCTTTGGGCTGTCTCCTCACTGTGTTGGTGTGTTTGACTCTAGCCTATAGGTTTACATAACTAACTGATGTGTGTATGTGTCAATGAGTTTCAGGTGAAACACTGGTTACAGTCTTAAAATAAGCCCAAAAAACTGACCAGCGCTGCGTGCCACTACCTTCAGATAGACCAAACTGGCTCCTATCAGAAAAGAAAGTGGAAGTCTTTAGTTTGACAAACAGACGCCACACAGCCAGTTGGTGGAAACTGTTTTTATATCTATATCTATGCATCTGTTCACATTTTTTCTGACTTGATTTTAAAGATGAACTTGCAAGTTTTGGACCTGTTTTTAAACTATAAACAAACCCACAGAGGCCATCCATCCATGTTTAATTTATAAAACATGTCAAATGTATGCTTACTTTTAACAGGATAAACTAGAATTCGTTAACACAAAGCAGTGGTTGCTGGATCTTCTAATAAGACTCATGAGAAATTATTTATGATTGAAATTATACTCTTTGTATTTTTCAACATTTCGGGTTAATTTCATGCCTTACAAATATATAAATATAAACAAATGTGTCTGTGTTTAAAAAAAAAAACCCCAAAAAACCCCAATAAGCATTCTAAGTGATCCCAAACTCAGGAGCAGTACTCTACATTTCATGCACCATGTGAATATATTATTGCCCTGAGTACATTATTTACTCAGTTGGAATAAAGTGGGTAAAACTGCTAAACATCACTGGTGATTGAGCAATTATATCACAACACAAATAATCCCACAGAGGTTCTAATGAATCATTAATGAGTCAACAGCATAATTTCTTACAAAGTGTGCTTTATGCCGCTTACTACACACCACTGTGTTTGGTGTGCTCAATATGAATAAATGTACTGTAACAGTTTGAAACAAGCTAAGGATTGTGCAGAGCATGCCCTTCTGTCTAATAAAAATACAAAGCCTTGTTTATGGTCTGTGGGACTTTAGCCATTCAGCATCACTCGAAGGCTGCTTTGCTATTCAAATGTTAGACGGGAGAGAAGCTGCTGAGAGAAAATGGAAGAACGGGAACGCGGACGGTGAACAGAGCGTGGCTACTGATGTGAAACTCATAGAAAAGCAATACTTTGCACAGACATATGCTTATGTACGATATGTCGTCTTTATGCACATCCAACTTACAGTTAGATCATACAATTATCTTTTAAACAATAGAGTGCTTCCAGTAACTTGGTTTGCTTTCCTACAACCTGATCCAACACCTTTGGGATGACCTGTAAGCCCAGCTTTAATAACAAACAGCACTCCCTATTACCTTCACTACATCTTGTGTGGTTGAAAGATGAGAAATTGCGCTACAACAATGATGTAAAATCTCATTAAAAATTTTTTTAAAAGCAATGCCCACATGCTCATGGTCGCAATGTATCAATCACATGCATTTCCTGCCAGTTAAGCCATTTTAGATCAAGAGAGAGGATTCTTGCCTCTTGGATTAAGTGATACTTAATAAAGTTAGACACCTGTTATTTTTAGGATGAAAAAAAAGCAGCCTTTGTGATCCCGGGGCAAGCGTGAAAGTCTTTGTAGGATACATTTACTTACAGTTTATGCCAAATTAACTATCAGCAGTTCGTGCTTGCAGCGTACTGGATATATGGACGACTATCCCAGGATTACTTTGTACTGAAACAAACTTACAGTAAAAGCAGAACAACAGGATCAACAAGGGCATAAAAAGACTAATGATTATTAA